TCGTTCTGACACTCCTTGCTAAGTCACCTCGCTTCTCTGAGGATTGGTCAGTTTCCTCATCTGTAAAATGGGGACCATAAGACTCCTTCACTCACAAGATGGTTAATAGGCTTAAAAAGTGGCTGTACAAGCATTTTGGATCAGTTATGACTATCCGTGCTTTAACCGATGTGCTGAGAGATAGCCTAACCTTCCCAGTACACATAGAGATCAGCAGCGTGCAAAGCCAGGCTGGTCCATGCATCATGACACTGAGCCAGCGGCCCACTTAGCAGCTCATCCGCGGTTTCCCAAGCACATTCCCCTGGAGAAGAGCCAGGAAGGGTGCCCAGAGCCTTGCCCCACCCACCCACCCCCCACAACAGCTAATTAGCCAGGAAGCTTAGAACCCATGAAGCAGAAAAGGCATCTTGAGTGTGTCTAAGGATCCCCAGTGGCAGTGGCAGGTAAGTGTCGGGCTGCTAACCCTAAGGTCAGCAGTTCAAAGCCCCAGAAACTCCAGGGCAGAAAGACCAGGCTATCTGCTCCCATCAGGGTTTACAGTCTTGGAACCCTAGGGTGCGGTTGGTTCTACTCTGTCATCTAGGGTCTGAGGCAGAATCAGCTCGATGCTGTGGGCTTGGTTTGATGTTCGAGCCTATGGCTGGACTTGGTTTGATTTTCAAGACTATATCTAGGGCCAGCACTATTTTTTAGCTCAGGATTCTGCCTCATTTTATCGATGAGGAACTGGGAGTTCCGAGAAGTAAAGGGATGTGCGAAAGAGCATGAAGCTAAGAAGTCTCAGGGCCAAGAACTGAGAGGCCCAGGTGGGTCTAGCCCTAAAGCCCAGGTGTCCCTTAAGAAGCTACTCAGCTGCTTCACACAAACACTCATTGGTGGCACAGAAGGTTACAAGTTGGGCTGGAAACCACAAGGTCAGGAGTTCCAGACCCTGCTCCATGGTAGAAAGATGAAGCTGTCTGCTCCCCGAAAGATTCCCAGCCCCAGAATCCCACAGGGGCTATTCTACGCAGTCCCGTAGGGTCGCTATGAGCTTAACACACTCAGCCCCCAAAGGAAGCCTTCAGCTCCTCTTCACAGACTAGCCCGAGGACATGCCCTGTCTCCTCGTGTCCTGGTTCCTCTGATGTTTTTACACACACACACACATACACACACACCCTGCACAGCGTCTTCCTCTTGGATTCCAACAGCCAAGCCAAGCACCTAAGAGTCACCCCACCTCTCCCTGTCTCCAACCAGGAACTGAAGTAGCTGCAACTAGGTCAGCTCCAACTGCTGGTGACCCCACATGGGTTGGTGGAGAATTGCACTCCAGGGGGTTTTCAATGGCTGATGATTCAGTCCACATTGTCAGGCCTTTCTTTCATGGCACCTCCGAGTTAGCAACCAAGAGCGTTACTGTTTGTGCAAGTCAGTGGCTCTCTAACCAGTAAGCCAGTGGTTCTCAACCTGAGGGTCACGAGCCCTTTGGGGCTCTAAAGATCCCTTTCACACGGGTCACCTAAGACCATCGGAAAACACATAAATATTTCACAATATATAATTATATATTGTTTTGTGATTAATCACTCTGCCTTCATTATGTTTAATTATGTTCAATTTGTAACAACAAAAATACATCCTGCGTATCAGATATTTACATGAGGATTCCTAACTGTAGCAAAATGACAGTGATGAAGTAGCAATGACAATAATGTTATGGTTGGGGGTCACCACCACCTGAGGAACTGTATGAAAGGGTCGCGGCATTAGGAAGGTGGAGAACCACTGCTCTAAACAGTTCTGCAATGTCTACCTCCAAGCCAGCCTCCAGCCTGTGTCTCCGAGCCCCGTGCAGCTTGCTCCGCATGGACTCGTCTTAATTACTACCTCAGCACCTCCGAGTCCTGTGCCCACATCCATGCCAGCACACGCATCCTCCACGTGGCCCTGAGGGAGCTCACTGTGAGAAATTGGAAGGCCAGGCTAATTAACGCTCACAGCTTTACAGAAGTAAAGGAATTTGCTTCGCTCCGCCTCTTCCCTTCTGTGCTTCCTGAAACCCCAGGACTGAATCGAACTGTGAGGGTGGGAGTCTTGCACAGACCCTGAACCCTGGAGAGTCGCCCCCCTCACCTGACTGACTCACTTGCCTTCTAAGCAGTGGTTCTCGGCAGCAGAGCTCAGCACAAAGAGCAGCCCCAGCCAGGCTTCCCACACCTGCTTACCACTGACCACTGGGGTGAGCTCACTTCCTCTCTCTGAGCCCTCTTTTCCCTCTGACAAGTTTGGAATTACATCCGTCTCTTCCTGTCTCATGGGAATGAAGAATGAAGAGAGGAAATATGTATAGTGCTCAAACCCACCATTGATAACATAGTCACATATAATAGTTTAATGTAATTCTTTGGAGTCTCTGGGGGATCGGGGCTATAATCTTGAGGAACGCCAAGATCTACTGATATAACATAGTTCACAAAGGCCATGTTCTACTCCCTGGGGTGAGCAGCAACTGGGGTCTTCGAACCCCAGAGACCGCCAGAGAAGGTGCAACACTATTGGGCCCTCCCTGTCTGCCCGAAAGAAGAGTGGCGAAAAGCCAGACCTGTGGAAACAATATTTCCAATGGACAAATGGGCCCCTCAAACGTCAGCCTCCACAACCCTCAGGCCAGATGGTGCCCCACTACCACAGCCATTGACTCTGCCGATGATCACATTAGGAGGCACAGACTACAGGAGAATCAAAGCCAGAAAGGAGACCAGGAGGACTGGTCAGCTAGTGACAGGTGGGATGCCCAAGAATTGTCCTTAGACACCTTTCACGTCTGGAAGTCAACACATTCCCATGATAGGACCGCCAACCAGCTGAGATCAAAAGGGTAGTATATACCCAATGGCAACATTCAGAGGGTTGCACCAACGGGAGGACTGCAAGCAGGGAACGCAGGAAGGAAAGGGAATCAGTCATGGTCCAGTAAGGGAATTGTGATGAAGAGATGAAGCAAAATGGGCATGAATGTTTTCAAGTAAAACTGATGCTCTGCTAAGTAAACCTTCACTTAGCTCACAATAAAAACTTTTTAAAAAGAAATGAGTATAATTATTTGTAGATCATTCCTCCTCTGCGTTTGTGACATCTTTTTTTAGTCGTCCAATTCTAGAACACATACAATTTCAATCTCAGCCTTTTTTCACTCAGTATCCGCTCTGAAGGCTGTGTCCCAACGACTGCGTGTCTTCGTAGCCATCATTTTCACTGGCTACTGAAAATAAGAGGTGATTCCATTACGGACTCATAGCATTCTATTTGGGAAAAAGAGTCAACTTATAAAAATGCTAATTTTTCTCTAATCATTGAAACAACACCGACTCTTCATCTAAATCTTGAGAACACAGAAAAGTAAAAAAAAGATGGAAATCTCTCCTAATCCCTTAACTGAGCGGAAACTCACTAGATATGCTAGGGCTGGGGGCGGGCGGGGAGTGATTCTTAAAAACCTGTGTAATAATATCCTATCTTGCAAATGTGGTCTTATATATAGACTCATGGGAAAGTCACTAGAAGTCTAGCATTGTCTGCACTACTTTGATTTTATAAATAACACTGCAATAAGCATCATTCTTGTCCATGAATCTGGGCATGTTTCTGATGGACTCTGTTGTCAGTGGAACAGGTCAGCTTTGCTTTCTGGCCCTGTGTGTATGGGTTGCTTGTCAATACATACCCTTTTCATTGCCCCCCTGCCCCCCACTTTCTCCCACAGGTACCTGTGCACACAAGCAGGCAGCTTGAACCTTCTACACATTCACTGGGAGCTGAGCAGAGACGATAAAGGAAAATGCCAAAGCTTTGCCCGTCCTCCAGGATGGGCTCCCCATACTAAACACTCGTGGATATTGAGTGGAATTCTGAACTCAGCAATCCTTACAGGGCAGAGTTGAACTGCCCACAGGTTTCCAAGGATGCAGGGCAGGCTGTCTAATCTTTCTCTGGATGAACAATGAGGGGATGCAACCTTCCAAGCTTTCAGTTAACAGCTGAGTGCTTAATCGCTGTGCCACCAGGGTTCTGCAACCAAAAATGTTCTACCTCCTGAGCATGTACACAGTGGTATGCCCCCCACCCCCGCTCACACACCCACCTGTGCTAACAGAGCTTCAGCATGGGAAATGAGGTTTAGAGACAGATACAGACCAATGTCGTTATCTGTGTACTCATACCAGTCCCCAGACAACCAACCAAAGGCCATTTTCACTTTCAAAACCCATTGCCATTGGCACAGCATAGCTACTACTCATTGTCCCCTTATCACATCCAAATCCAAGGGCTCTGCATGTAGCCCACTTCATCCTCACAGTCAACATAGAAGGGAGATGAGGTAACTACCTCCATTCAATAACTGAGGTCTTAGTGACTTGCCTAGCAACCCTGGTGGTATAGTGGTTATGCATTGGGGCTGTGATCTGGATGGTTGGCAGTTCGATGCCACCAGCAGCCCCACAGGAGAAAGACTAGGCTTTCTACTCCTGTAAATAGTAACAATCACGGAAACACCCACAAGGCTGATGGCAGGTAGGGCCAGGACTCCAGTCCCACCAGACTGTACCAATACCTATGCACAAACACAGCCACTTGTTCAAGACGAACAGCAACTCCATGGGAGAAAGGCTGGGCTTTCTATTCAGTTAGTCAACAGTTAGTCTCAGAAAACCGACAGGGGGCCACTGTGAGTCAGCAACGAGTCTGTGGCTGTGGGTGTCACTGGTCACATGATAGGCCATGGCAGTGACACAGACTCAGAGGGTGGGGCACAGGAGAGACCCTCAGAGGCAAAGCTCTGTGGTGCAAATCACCCCAGAGGCCCCGACAGTGTGGTTTCCAGACAGTGTGCAGGCACAGCCTCGGCCCTTCCTCCACTCCCGGGCAGCACCTGGTCCGCCAGCAGAGGGTTTGTGAGCTGGCTGGTGCCAGCCTTACCTTTACTCTTTCTGCTACATCATCAAGACACTGACCGTAAATTCAGCAATTTTCGGCACCCGGAATTTCCCCTTGTTCTTCTGCTCAGGCTGGTATTCCGTCCTGGTCTTCACTATCACCTGGAATGGAAGAGCAGCATTAGCA